GCATGTGGGGTTATCCGGTCCTTTAAGTTGGCAATGTTGGTCCGTATATCTCTTCATGAAAATCAGCTCGCGTAATCTCGCAACACAACCTTGTGGAGATATTCGTAAAGGCTTAGCTTTTCACATGAAGCCCAATGAGGCCAAGTTGCTCCAGTCGTTGAAGCGAGTCGTTCATGTCATGCAGACAGGAATACCAAAAGTTTCCGCCACCGTCGACTTTAGGTCAATCATACGTCTTTTGTCAGATCAGATCATATTGTATCTTCGTGCACAGCGTGTGGTTTGGAGCCAGTAATTTGCTGTCATTTGCAACTTGTCTTCGTGATCTCAGTGATATCCAAAAGCGAGAAAACTTGCAAGCGCGCTGCATGTTCCATTCTGCAGGATGAAGGTGGCATCTTCTGCCGACGAAGACGGCTCCTGGGCTGCAATATGACCATGAAATTCCACAGCTGCACCGAAACCACGAAATGCAAGTTGTTGGTTGCCTGATGCATCACATGCCAGTTTATCTAACTCAAGCACTTCGTTCGTCTCGCAGCTAGTCGAACGGCCGTGAATCCGGCTCTATTAGCTATTTATTCATGTGTGAGCAGGCAAGACGGCAGGATCGCCGGCTGCGGAGAGGCCATCTGCTGGCGGCATGCAACTGAGTGGGCCTTCCGCCCTGTGCTTGTCAGTTTTATGTCAGGTTGCAAGCACATGCCTAGACTTGCACCTCTTTTTTTCGCTGTTTCGGTTCTTGTCTTGCAAGGTGCATGAAGCGAGCAAATGCCCCAGAAATCCGGAATTCTTCCTGTATCACGCGGGTAGCAGGTCGTAGCCGCTTCACGTCAGGCACCGAAAGATGCATTTGGCAAAGTGCGATGCACAAAGGAAGAGCCATGACCCCGGAACGATGGTGTGCACTGTTTTTTTGCGAAAACTCTGCCGATGTCATTTTGTCAACTGCGGAGCTTGCTTGCGCGTCTTCAGCGCGCTACCAGCATGCCCCACGCTGGGTGAGCACCAGTTGGCTTTGCCGGGTCGAGCAGTGAGCTTGTGAGAATGTATGGATGCACAGCTCCACAGGTTTGCTGGCCTGGGCCAGGACTGATCTTACAGCGGTTCGCCCAACGAACCTAAATTCAAGAGAATAGCAGTTTGCTAATCAAATATGAATTTGCACATTGGGAGTCCTGTCAGAAATCAATTCACCCGGAGCCTTCCAGGATGCTTGGTGGATGCACCAACATTGCTTCGAGGATGGAGACTGGCAGGCCTGCAGTATCGAGAAGCATACTTTTGTGCATCTGCAAGTGTCAACGTGCACCACCACCGCTGCCAACTTGACATGCCCCCCACAAGGATTATTTTGGCGAACCTGAACCAGAGGAGGAACGATGGCGGCGAACAGGAGAATCGAATTGGTGACCCCAAAATCATGACGATAATTATTTTGTCGATTTCCAGTTGCGAAAAAATAATCATTGTATAATGCAATCAAAAAGAACTTAAATATATTTTTTTCGCTCTAGTAGAAAATATTTTTCAATTTGTAATATGAGATTTTTTTCGACCAATTTTTTCAAATAAAATTTATCGATTTAAATTGGTTTCTAAAATCTCGGTTATCTATATATTAAAAATAATAAAAAAGATAGAATTTGATGATTGATTTATTTCATATAAATTATATTAGAAAAATATAAGAAGATTAAATCTTAGAAATAAATAAAAATTAAAATAATAAGATATAATATTGCATTGATATTTTGAAATATTCTTTTTTTTCATTTGATATTTCTAATCTGTCGTAGAAGATATGAAAATATTTGCTAATTTTTATATTTTTTGAGAAAGGCCTCTTAATTGATATAAAGATATTCGCTTTCATTTATATGGATTTAAAAGAATATATTAATAATATTTAAATATGGTTAAATATTTTTTGATTTTATTTTGAATTATATATT